TTTAAAAATATTTTTTTTATGTCAGACAAAGATGTTTGTTGTCATTTTTTTAAAAATGTATCAACAGTACCTGATCCATCATGATTATAATTAGTGTACTTATTTTTGATTAAAAAAAATGTTTTTGGATTTTGGAATTAATTGAGTTGATTGGTGTGTATTTGCAGTCTACTATGTATTTGTTGTTTTATTTATGTATAGAAATCAACTCGTTGGCCACATCGAGAACACTCTAGATCGACCGATATCGGTTTGAAAATGTTTCATTATCGAAAAATCAATTTCGGCTAGAATGTTTTATGAATGAAAATTGCCCAAGTGACGTCAAAGGAAAAAAAAAACTGGCACCGCTTAGTCGCTGGCTTACTGCAGTACACTAAAACATTTCTTAGCATACATGAACACATTTTAATGAATCAACAGTTAACATTTGCGCAAAATCTTATTGTAGGCTCTATTAGCTTAGTCAACAAAGTAAAATTTTAAAGCACTTAAAACACAATTTAACTAATCATACATCGGTTTTTTTTTTTCACGTAATTCTTTAATAAATCAATCTAGATAAGTGTTTGTTAGAGTGTGCATTATTATTAAAGTACAAAATAAACACGGAGAATATTGTAACTCTATTGCCGCACTGAAATACATGGTGCGCACTAGACACTGTTCCACACGAGCGTGGAACAAGAGGAAAACGAAATGGAGACATGATAGTAAAAGCCGGCTTATTTGGGTGAATCAAACTAAATATAGAACAAGCTGACATTCTGTGGTTTTTGTGTGTTATTTATTTCATCATTAAATCCTTATCTGTGTTATCATTAACCTGTTGAGTGTTTTCCTGGAAATTTATAACAATTAGTGTCAGAAGTGGGATTTATAATGGCTACCACTAAAACGCTAGACAAACTCCTTATGAAGGAACTGAAGCGGGAACTCCGTGACCGAGGTCTGAAGATAATTGGAAATAAGGAAACCCTACAGGCACACCTACGGGAGGGTTTGATGGAGGAAAAAGCAGATCCGGACACCTATCTTTTTGAAGTCGAACCAGATATGGAATTTATGCAACAACAGAATGTCAGTTTGTTCAAAATCTAGTTTGATTCAGCAAAATAAGCTGGCATTTACTATCATGTCTCCATTTCCTTCTGCTCGTGTGGAACAGTGTCTAGTGCGCACCATGTATTTCAGTGCGGGAATAGAGTTACAACAATATTTATGCAATGCATTGTAATACTTTTTTAATGAGTACCCTTTTTACAAAGCTTATATCAACTCAATCTGTGTCTGTCTGGCCAAAAGTTTGTACACGTTATTTCTCAGGTCGTTCTCTTTTTTTAAAAAGAGAAAGCGATCATCCAGTTACCCCGTTCTTTCTCCCCCTTTCCAACTTGTCCAGACAAGAGATAAGGTAGTGAGAATGCTTAAAGTAGAAATTGCGCTAAACAAAAAAAAAGGTAAAAAAATATTTATAATCCTGTATATTGTCAATGTTCTTGTCTTTTTACTGTACGAATGTGTATTTCAATGCTGACTGCCAAATGCAACCAAGTCATGAAGATAACCTTGACGGCATTTATAAAGACAGAATGAAGATTCAGAATGCCACTTCTTTTTTTTTTCTTTTCTTTTTCACGGAAATATAACTTGTTTATTGAAAATATTAATAAAATACAGGCACAGTTCTGGCAAATGAAATATCCAGTAACAATTAATAATTAAAAGCACACATCAGCTGCTCGCAGAGGGGGGGGGGGTGACTGCTGTGTGGGCGACATCGTTCCGACCATAGTCAATGCCCAGTAGTCGTTTTACCATAGAAGGAGGCCAATAATAAAAGCTCAATATCCCATAGACTAAATAATAGCTATACGGAAATAATTAGAGTCTATACTTCAACTGTTAGAACTAAAATCCAACTGTCCTGGACTGGGAACAAAAACCACAGTTTTATTATGGGTTTAAAATTTTCATTCCATTAAAAAAAAAATCTCACAAAGTAGAACAATCCAAAACAAAAACAGCCTTGAAGTCAACAACCCTGAATTGTCCCCCTTCTCCTCTAAAGTTAACAGGAGACCCCAGGCTGACCAGAAATCAGTCCTGACACATATTTATTATTGTTAGTCTAGATCTATTACAAATTTAAATACATGATTAATCCAAACTAATAATATAAGCTTTGTTTTTTTTTTCAGTTTTTTGTGGGTTTTTTTTTTGCCATTTTGCTTGTTACAGTGCAACTCTATTCTTTAGCCTTCACAGATCGCTAAGGTCCAATCTTTTTGGTGGAGGAGGGGGTACCTCAACATAACTCTACTCGAGTCGGGATTTAAACTCAAGCACATTTGATAAGTAGCCAAGCGACTCTTGTCACTCAGCCACACATCACACAGGCTACTTTATTTGAAGAAGGATAGGCCTAATTAAAATATTGCACAGAAGTATTTTTCTTTGAACTAGCTTAATATTGAAAACAAAAACTATACGTTTAAGTTAGGAATATTATTATGTTTGATGGTTTTAAAATGTGCTAATTGGTGACTCGAATCCCTTCACCTTTGTGTACGAACCTCCCAATACAGTCGATAAACGTTTCAATAAGTATTTAGTTTGACCGTTGCTAAAATTTATTGTGACAGTAAACAAAGAGATGGTACAAATCTACAAATATGATAGGTCATGTTTTCTTTTCAAATCTAATGACTATTTCCAGTTTAGATAGCTTAGAATAGGCCTAATTAACATAGTCCTACCAGTTTAAATAGCTTAGAATAATTAACATTGTTCATCCAGTTTAATTAGCGTAGAATAATTAACATAGTCCATATAGTAGATAGCTTAGAATAGGCCTAATTAACATAGTCCTACCAGTTTAAATAGCTTAGAATAATTAACATAGTCCATCCAGTAGATAGCTTAGAATATGCCTAATTAACATAGTCCTACCAGTTTAAATAGCTTAGAATAATTAAATGTGCGGGTAATATTTTATTTTGTTCGTGAATTATTACAATGTCTTCAATCTTCGAAGTCTACTGTCCCGTACCAAAAAAATGAAATGGTCATAACACAGCTTCTCCCCGCCTTACTTGCTAACAATGAACATGATATCTAGCTCGCGGTCAACGAATTAGCGTACGCTGCCGCCTCTTTTGGTGTCACTAGAAAACTTGGGAAAACGGTTCATGTTTTACAAGTCACCTAATAAAATCTACTCTACCCATGTGGTAGACTCGAATACCACACATCTGGGAGGCATATTATCAAATGACGCATTGCTATTAAGATGCCATTAGGTTGATAAGCGTCTGATCAGGGTCAGTAGTGCTTTTGGACACTCCAAGTGAGAGTGTGGCGAAACAAATCGCACTGCCTGCCTACAAAAATCAGTGTCTACCAAGCAGTGTTTTTCTCAGCCCCTCTATGTGGATCTGAGACATGGGTGCTTAACAGAAAGCAACCAAGACTTGAACGCATGGACATACGGTGGCAAGACTGTATACTACAAACAGCGATGTTCTTACGAATGCCGGTATGAACTTGTCATAGTCCGACAGTCCGTGACCTCCGTGACAATGTCGAAGGCGCCGGACAGTCACGCTGGGCAGGAGACGTATCTTGCCAAAGGCACTCTTTTTTATTGTGCTAAAAGGTGGTCGGCGTGTGTACCACGGAAACGTTTTAGAATACTAACGCAATGTTTTTAAGTCTCTTAGGAAAAAAATGTACCATTTTACTTTGTTACCCCATAAAGTCAAGATTTTGCATCACTTAATGTTTCGTAAAAAGCCATAATGAATATACTAATAGCATAGACATAAATAAATATAGATTGGCCGAAGGAAGTAACTTCATGTAACTTGAAAACATGTACATCTATTGTATTCGGATTTCCGAATTATGAAAAATTGCATGATCTTCATTCTTAGAAATTAAACAAAACACTAGTGAAAATATTGTAATACTTATATAGGTTATGGCTGAAATAGATATGACTTTTATACTGCTCATAAATGCTGTATAATAAAGTACACAAAATTGCAAGTCACAAATCTTCGTTTCATAAAACTCTTTAATCGGCCAGTCTATATTTATTTATGTCTATGACTAATAGCAATTTTAATTTTTAAAAGTCTGAACGTAACCTTATTGAGAAGTTACAATGCAAAGACTTTCTTCCAAGCCAATAATTTTATGTAAAAGATCTAAAACGACAGACGTGCGCTGTGGTTTTTCTACACTGTTGGTGGACTTAGAAACTTTCTATTCTAATCACCATTTACAATTACATTTAGAAATAACAGAACACAAAAACAACTCTTCAGGTTAGTTATCTTTACCCGATCGTTCATTTTCTTAATTAAAAAAAAAAAAATTTCCAAAATGACTTCGGGTATAACAATTTATTAAACTGTGCGAGGATAGGTCACCTGGTACTGTGACTTAACAGATTTGAGGCGTTAGTACTTGTTTAATAATTTAAAGTTACCCTCATTTAGAGGTTAAAATCTGGCTTCTTCCAATTTAACAGCTAAGTGAACATATATTTTACATCCTTATCTGTGTGTAGTTGCTGAATGAACTTTCTATGTTGTGTCTCTTGTGAACGTTTCTGTTGTGTTGTCTTAGGAAGTAATCATCTTCTTTTTTGAAGTAACGTCTGTATTATGTAAGAAGAATGAGCAGAGTCCTTGTAATCACAACAAATTTTCATAAGGATCAATAAAGCAGTCTTAGTCTTAATGAAATACAGGCGTTACTTCAAAAAAAGAAGATGGTAGTGTCCTATGCATGTTCCTAGGCCAATCAAGTCATGCATGTCAACCAATTTCTGCAAAGTCATTGGCTTTATAAACAAGCTTGTGGTCCTTCATAACCACAAAAAAAAAAAAAAAAAAACTAAAAAAAAAGCCCTGTCATTTTCAAATCTTGATTTTTTTTGTTTAAAGTTGTATTATTGTTTATAACTGGAAGAATTGAAAGAAAACACAGAGTCAGTTCTCCAAATAAATAATTTAATTCTGTCCACACATGACATTCAACATCAAAGATTTTATACTTCATAATACTATACAACTTGAGGGAAATACTCAATTTTATTTTCACAGTGGTAAATCAACAATCATATTTTATATTTCAAGTAGTAGTCACATTGTGTCACTAATGTCTTAACATGAACAGAGATGTACATACGTCTTCATTGAACCCCTTGAAGCAGTGTCTGGTCAATACATTCTTTTAATACTCACTTCCAAGACTCAGACCACCAGACAACTATAGAGATCTAGCACTATATTAGGTTCTATTGAGCTGTTTAACAACTACGGGGATGAGTGCAAAATAATAAGTTGAGCAACTGGTGAGATTCTGATTCTACAAAGCAGTGGTTCAACTAGTTACTGACAGGAGATAGATGAAATGGTTCAACTAGTTACTGACAGGAGAGAGCTGAAATGGTTCAACTGTTACTGACAGGGGATGAAATGGTTCAACTAGTTACTGACAGGAGAGAGATGTATGTCCTGGCTGTACTAGTGTATGTGCTACTGAAACAACTGAATTTCTTTTTTTATTTTGCATCATAACGTTGGCACTAAATTTCTGATAGAAATATGTAGCAAAATTAACAAAAAGTTTAAGTAATCTGGTGATTAATGAACTTTGATTCATTATCATCAACAATATCTGAATACCCACAGATTACCAACTGAGATTACTAACATTTAATTGCAGAATTTCCTTTCTTTACCAGCACTATACAGACTATTGTATATGTGTAATTAAGAAGTATAATGTTCATTGTCAAGCTCTTAAATATATTATAGAAAGGTGTAGCACCATTAAAGTAAAGTAACCAAGAAGTTTAATAATGTTTATTGACTATCTGTCTACTGTCTGGCTACCTTTGGATAAGCCAACATTATCACTAAGTACTGGTAGTGAGTTCTGAGTGACAATCCTGTAGTTTTCAATATCTCAAAGTCTAGATGAATAAAATGTCATCACAACATATAACATAACAACAGATCCGTTTCTATTAAAACCAGCTCAACATGAACAACAAGGCTAATGATGAACGCATTGAGAAGAGGCTCCAGACACAGTGTAGGGAAGACAACCCAGACATCAATCCAACCCAACCTTCCTATCACAAGATCAATGAAAATAAACATTCTAAACAAGGACCTGAAAGACAAGATCAATACACTCTCCTACATTATAAGAATGACCACTCAAGCCCCATGTTAACATTTCAAACTATTTACAAAGTACTACATTAGATTACATTCATGCACATGTATTGCTTTGTCAGCATCAAATACGCAGGAGTATTGAAACAAATAAAAGTCAATGGCCCACATCATGCTGGTAACAAAAAGAAAATATTCTATAAGAAAGTTTAATACTTTCTTACCGAGCTACTTGTTTCAGGGGACAGGCTTGAGAATAGAAGTGGTAGACTAATCACCAATTATACAAGGCACTACGACTAAGCTGAAAATATGGTCTGCAGAAAATCAACACCCCTTATTACAATTCTATAGGGAGACTGTAACAGTTATTTATAAAATGTTGAAATCTTTTGAGTCCCAAGTCTATTTCACAAATTGAAATTTTATGCAAATGTATGTCACAAATTATTTTAATGTTAATTCAAACCTTGGGTAAATATATAGCCTGCTTTTGACCTTTTTCTTTATTCTTGAACCTAACAAAAACTTGCAACATTATTGATTCTTTGACCTCTTTAGGACCATCTGCTATTTTTACTGTCTGCAAAAATAATCTGATAGGGTTGTCTTTGATATCGTACCAATGAAACTTATTTTTTCTCTTCTCTATGAAACAATTCTTTGTTGTAGGTTCTTGAAAGGCCATTATACTTCCTATCTTCAAACATTTTGAATGTCTTAGCCTTGACGTATAGATTTTACAAAATGGCATGAATGAAATATAATCATTCAAGAACTATTTGAACTTAACTGCTGTCTGATTGGATAGATTACTAAAGACTTTCAAACCCCACCTCTCCCTCTGTAAAAAGTAAAGTTCCCCTTTCAGACCTTGTGGTCTATAGGGCAGATGATGTAAAGGTCATCTGTTTATGTGACCTATGGTTAACGAGGGTGTCATGTGGCCAGCACAACGACCAACCACCTTTACTTTTACCCAAATAATGTCAGGTACCCATTAGAACTGGGTGGACTCAGAGCCGCCCAAAGATCCCGAAATTAAAAATCTCAGGTCTTCACCACGATTTGAACCCGGGAACTCTGGTTCAGCAGCCAAGCGCTTTACCGCTCAGCCACCACACCTCCTTTTCCCCTGTAAAGTTTGTATTTTTAAGCAACTTCATCATGTTTCTCACCAAAGATGTTATTTTAGATCAGTCTTGCTAGTCAAGCCACAATTTTAAGATAAACCAAACTCTAGAAAAAAAAAAAGTAAAGTTACCCTTTTAGACCTTGTGGCAGATGATGTTAAGGTCATCCCTTTCTTTAGCCAATGGTTAAGGAGTAGGGTGTCATGGCCAGCAAAACCACCAACCGCCTTTACTTTCCCCCAACTAAAGTCAGGTACCCATTTAAGTCGGGTGGACTTAGAGGCACCCTAAGAATTCAAAATTCCAGTCTTAGCGAGATTTGAGCCCTGGAACCCTGGCTTGGAAGTCATGCCCTTAGCCGCCGTGTCCCCAAACAAAACTGTAATAGAATGAAACCACTGCTTACACCTGGCATCAAACTATTAAGCTATTTCAGGAGGATGCATGACTAGAACAACATTTCAAAACAGAATGAAAAGTTTGGGCTTTAAAATAGAAAGAGAGGGGTCAAAGCGCTGCGATGATGTGCAAACCAGCTACTGTGCAGTGGTCAATTGTGTTACACACTTATGTTAAAACTCACAAAGCCAACATACACAATGTCCACAAGTCTATTACAGAATGTGAGTTGGGCATGAAACATTTACACTCACTGTCTCTCAATGTCCTAATGAAAGAGCATGTTAATTACATTCAACATTTATATACATTTATATACAATGTCAGACGAAGTAACATTAAAATGTAAAATTTTTCTCATTACTAATATAGGCTTCAATTGTCCTTTGACATTCAGTTGATGTCCATCTCTCCAGTAGTAGGTTACATTCAGTCTCATTGGTCAGTTCCATTTTGGTTCGATGGTGACTCCGAATTAAAAGTTTTGTAGCTTCAAGAGCCTGGAAAAGTCATATATCAACCATTAAAACTGTTCTAATGCCTAAGTAACAAGATTGTTGGGCCTAATCTTAATATAAACAAGGCAATAACAAGTCTTGTGTTACATTTACTTAAAAAAATGCATGTCTTTTACTTTAGATTTGAGCATGTTTATATGGGCGGACTGACATCAGCCAGCTATTTTCCAATCAAGTCAATATGTGACAGCATGTAAAGCTAATGTCCTGTCTATCATTCTATTTGCTATTTATTTTTAAACAAGGTCCAAGTTTAAGTTATACACAAACAACTATCTCAGCTTCTGGCTATCAACAATTAAAAGACACTAGGGTCCAAAGATTTTTTTTTACACAGTAGTTTTATAGTCAGAGTGGACTTTACACTTGAAGTACCACTTCCCTCCCTTTATTGTTACATTATCATAGAAAAACTAACTACAACCCAATGTTAGAAAATGTTAACAAGATGTAACCGCAATTCATTCTAAATAATGTCAACATAAAAACTTCAATGTCATATCAGAAAACTGACCTTGGCTGAACAATTGGCCATGTTTTGAGTTCTAGGGATGACTTCTTGCATCATGAGAGTGGGCCAGAAGACTTGAGAGACTAATCCCTGCTGGTAAGCCTCCATGGCTGTTATCTTCCTACCTCCATATAGTAGCTCATTGGCCTAGAGTCAACACTTTTTATGGTCAATAGTGTGTAATAGAGACTATTAACTAACTGAACACACTCTAGGCAAGGATATGTAAACTTGGATATCAAGAACAAACATTAAATGTGATCAATAGAATGGATCAATGTTATTAAGAATTTTAAAAAGTATTCTAACCACGTGGGCATTTGACTACATGTGGACAATGTTATTAGGAAGTTATTTTTTTTTGTGTGTAGAATATGTTGAAACACAACATATTTGTTCTGAATCTAAAGAAATATGATACAGTTGAAATTAATTTTCTGTGACCAGGGCTATGCTAAAATTGTGAAGAGATCAAGTTGATTATAGTGGATTCTGTGCTCCAATGTAAATGTAACACAAACGTCCTAATGAATATAGCACAGAAATACAGCATACCCATATCCCTGAATTATATTTGTCGAATTCTTTATAATTAACATATATGAGTTTAAAATTTTTTTGCATTATCTTTCTTTCTTTACAGATTTGTGCGATATTAATGTGGGAACAACAGATCATTATCTACATCCATTCATTACAACTTGATATCGACAGAATTCTAGTGAAACATTTCATCCCATAGACCTGACGGGACACAAACCCACACTCCTCAACTTAGGGAAATGCTTTGCATTCTAAATCATTTTAAATATAAAGCCTATAATTACTGATTTACAAGTTTTTATAAAGGAAGTTGAAATGACACAATTCCTTGATGGTCTTTAGTTTACATATCAATGCCCTACAACTGAAGCACTACATGTTTTCTGTAAACTTTCTGTTAAAGGAAATAAAGAAAACGAATCAAACGGTACTCACTGAAGGCAGTCCTACAGTTAAAGGTAGTGTGAATGAGGAACAACCTTCTGGTGTTTGAGAAAGCTGGGAGTAAGGGAAATGGAAAGACGCTTTATCACTAGCATAGACCACATCACATAGAGCTAGCAGCGACACACCCAGTCCTACGACAGCACCAGACACAGCGGCTATGATAGGCTTAGGGAATGTAATGAAGGTTTTGGTCACTTCTCTGAAATGTAAACAGATTAGGTTTCAATAAATATACATTATCTAGACATTACTTCAAAGAAAATAATTCTGTGCTATGCAACAGCAGCATTTTTTTTAGATATATATTAATATATATAGAGAGAGGGAGGTAGACAGGATGTATAAAATTCTTGATATATTACAGGCGCCTTCAACAAAAACAGAAATAGACTGAGCAGTACACTAAGGAGAAACTCTGAAAATAAAAGTCTAATTTTATTACTGTCCAACTTTCCTAAGAACACTGAAATAATTCTTTATATAAAAATAATAAGTTTTAAATCAAGTTTGCCACACATTTCATCAAATCTTAATTATAAATAAAGTTTTTAGAAGGTGCCTGTTCAATGATAAACAATTATATTAATGAAACTTGTGATAAACCTAGTTTCAGAGATATATGAAAAGTAATTGACTTCATGAATCAAATCAACACCATATGTTTTTTTAA